TTAGCTATTTTTTCCTCTCTCCTCCCAGAGGGCAGTTGTAAATGGTCTGCCTAAATGAAGCTATTTATTTAAATCCGTCCAGATTTCTTTTGAAGTTTTGTACATCTTTCTTCTGCTGTATCAGCTCATAGCTATGATAATTTAATAAGTTTTTCCTAGGGTGAAATTGGATGCCCTTTATCGATCTTACACTGAGGGGGCATTCAATTACTTACTCTAAAGTGGTATTTCTGGGTCTCTCAATTACAATTTTGTTATAAATGGCTTGCTAATGATGCTTGGGGTGCACAGGTTAATAGGGGGCATCCTAGCCAGGGCTGGGTAATTGAACGCTTTCTATTTTGGGACCAGTGATCTGATCTCGCACAGGGGTATGGGTTCCCACACTTGCTGTCTGCCTCCGTCAGGCCCAGCACTGAGCCCAGGCTGGGAAGCGATCTCACTGAAATGTATACCTGAGTACTTTGGTTTAGTATCTGCATGGGAGTGCCAAGGGTCCTGACTCACCTGAGTCGACTGGCACCAAAACGGGAACATTCCAGACAGGTAAAGTGCGAGGGACATGCGTTGCTTATTTTTTTAAGGAAGAACCACCTGAGTGTGAGGTTTCTGCGGGACTGTTCTCAGGATGATTTGTGGCATATGGAAAAGGCCAATTCAGGAGTAGAACAGCAATGCTTTTCGCTTCGATACAGTCACATTAATTTGATTTTTCTTCACTGTGTTACATTAGTTGATAGTTGTACATCTTGTAAAGATCCTTTTGAGAGAATATTTGGCGTGCATCCTTTTTTGCACTCGGACAAATCTCAGCACAATACTTCTCCTGATCTCCATGTGGCTGGCTTCCTTCTCGTCATTCAGGCATTCCCTCCCAACTACTCTTCTCTGGACATCCTGCTGCTGGACCTCCTTTCCTGTCAGGCTGCAAGTCTCACCTGGGGGTGGAGGTCAGCGCACAGGACAGCCCCTGACCATGAAGAATGATCTGGCCCTAGTGCTGCATTAGAGAATGCCTGCTGTCATGGTTTCATTGTATTCTCCTTTTGTATTTTCTTCATAGCCTTTATTGGTGTCTGAGATGATCTCATTCCTTTGTCACATTCATTGTCTGTTGCCCTGTAGCCCCTAAATCCTGGCGGGATATAAGCTCCAGGTGGGGAAAAGCCTCCCTGTCGTGGTTTCTTCTGTACCACTACCGTCCAGTCAGCCAGGGCTTGGTCTGGAAGCCTCAAAGCTCCAGGCCCTGCACTGACAAGGGCCCTGGTTGTGTATGGGATATGGTCATAGGACTTATTTTTAATCGACATCATCAAGGGGTATTTTACACACTAGATACTGGTCATATGTTTTGGTAAAACTTATAAGATAGTTTTTTTTTTTTTTTAAAGATTTTATTTATTTTTTAGAGAGCGAGCGAGAGAGAAACAGCACGAGAGGGGAGAGGGTCAGAGGGAGAAGCAGGCTCCCCGCTGAGCCGGAAGCCCGATGCGGGACCCGATCCCAGGACCCCGGGACCACGACCTGAGCCGAAGGCAGACGCCCAACCATCTGAGCCACTCAGGCGCCCAAAACTTATAAGATAGTTTTATATTGTTTCCCCATGCAAACAAGCCCCAGCTCTCCAGACACCAGCTGAATTGCCCTACAATTCAGTTCAGTTCCCATAGGAAATACCCTGAGCTTGCACAGACCCCACAAGTTAAGGGCTCAGTCCCCCAAGACTGCCCCAACTTCAGATGCCAGTTACAAGTATGGGGTCCCAAGGCTACCCAACTTCTGTCTGATCTGGCTACAAATTCCGAGGTTCTCACAAGGCCCTCCTCAGGTCTGATAATTCCCAAGAACTCAGGAAAGTGCCTTATTTACTATTACCAGTTTGTTATAAAGGATACAGCTCAGGAATAACCAGATGAAAAACATGCCTGGGGTAAGACATGGGGGGAGGGGAAGGGAGTCACCCTTCCAGCCCCTCCATGCGTTCACCAACTAGAAAACTCTCCGATTCCTGTCACTTCGGGGCTTTTGATGGAGGTTCCATTACATAGGCATGATTAATAAATCATTGGCCCTTGATGATTAACTCACTCACCTCCCTGGAGGTTGGGGAAGTGGGGCTGTAAGTTCCAACCTTCTGTCTAATAGAGGCTTAGGCTTTCTGGGCACCAGCCCCATCCTGAAGCTATCAGGGGTTCCCCTAAGAGTCATCTCATCAGCATAAATTCAGCTGTGGTTGAATGAGGCTTGTCATGAAGAACAAAAAAGATGCTCCTCTCACCCCTTCACTTAGGAAATTCCAAGGGTTTTAGAAGCTGTTTGCCAGGAACTGGGGACAAAGACCACGTTTATTTTTTATTCTGTTACCCGCCCCCCCATCTTATGTTGGCTTTGGGTCTCCACAACCCCACTGCATCTACAGCAGTGCCTGCTCCAAGCTCCCCTTCTGAAGAGATCTGCCCAACAAAGGAACAAACAGGTGAATGAGTTGTCGCCCCAGGTCTCGGCTCCCGAGCTGTTTTATGTTTAAGAAGCAAGACTGGAGTAGAGGTCTGGCTGGAGGGTGCAGCCTGCCCAGGGGTATAAATGCTTGGGCTCACCATGTCCCGGAGCCTCCCTGTTGAGCCTGTCAGCTTCCCTGACGACCCACATCTCTTTACTTACTTGGCTTGTAAGAAGAAAGCTGTGTTTTTGTTTAGGAATATTTTGCCCATTCTGTTGGGTCCAGATTTTGTACATTCTTGTCTTGGAGCTAAAAAAATCTAATTAGACTTTCTGCAGCCAGAGACACAGAAGGGTGTGAACATACTCCCCACTGAGATCCTGGTTGGAGCCTCCTTTTAGCCCCGCTTGGCCTTGTCTTTTTAACATGTAAAAAAATGTTTTCTTGGCTTAGCGATAGGATTTCCAAGTAGGGGATCTTGCCCTTTTGTTTCTTTGGTTTGGAAGAATTGTTTGTACCAAGTGATGGGTCAAGGGTGGTTGAGTGAATGGGAGGCAGGGATTTGAGCCTTGAGGCTCCTGTCACGTCCCTCCAACTGCTCTCAAGAGATGTGTGGGCGGTGGAGCCCTGGGTGTTGGCCTGGTTCCAGAACAGTTTGCTCCCGCATGCCCCCACTCCTCTGCTCTTCCCAGAACTGCCCTGACCCCAATATTGGCCTCCCCTAACTAGCATTTTCACAAGCTGGTTCCTTGCGACATTAGTGAGAATTCCGTGGCCATTTATGTTTTGGAAATTTTGCATCTTATATTCCTCTCCTGTGGATTCACAGGGCTCATGAGCATATTAAAGGCCCCCAAAAGTCCTGTTGTAAAGAAGTCTGTTTGCCTCCATCTTACCTTTTCTCCGAGTAATTTAAGCACAGAACACATAACAACAATGTGCAGAACACTCAGTGGGAGACACTTTAGGAAGCACTGCTTGGCTATTTCTTGATCAGTGTATTTTGATAAAGCACAGGCCTTTCCGTCCAAGGGAAGGGAAGTTTCCTGCTGGTGAGTCCTCATTATTCAGCCTTCCAGCCAATACAAGGAGGCTTTAACTCAGGGTTGGTTAATTCCACCTTCTCTGGGGACAGGTAGGATTATTTGAGGGCTGTGTGTGTGTCAAGTTGGAGGTGAGTCTACTGCCTTTGGGTAATTCTCAAGCCCTAAGGAAAAATAATGTGATAGGATCTCCCATCTTTCATTCCACTTTGAACATTCTTGGCATTCACTGACAATTAAAAATCATAATCGTAATGGTCATTGATGATGCTATTATTAATGTTGCCTACCTTTTAGGGGACGCTAATAACTATGTGTAGGCATTAAGCAAACTCTTTATGTGTGTTAACTAATTTAGTACTTGCTGCAAGCTTATAAGGGAGGTAGTTTTACCCTAATTTTACTGGGCAGGGAGGAAAAGCTCAGAGACGTTATATGGCCCACTGGAGGTCACACAGCTGGTTAGTGGTGGTCTGCCATTATTGGAAACTAAGTCTCCTTTTTTGCTGTTTTTACAACATCTAAAAAGAAGTGTCATCATTTGGGCAACAATACATTTTATAACCACAGAATTCTGTTAATGGATTTTTAAGAATCATGTTTTCCGCAGGATGATGAAAGTGAAAAATGATTTCAGGGTCTGAGTGTTATGTTACTCAGGGGAATACTGCACGTTGGGTTTAATTGCTTAATAACTTAAAGTCAGATGGTTTTTTTATATGATGCACTCTACTGAAGGAGAGAATCATTCCAGTGTTTCTAAATTTTCATTAACTTTTGCCTCGTAAACTGATAATAAAGGTTAGTTCTCGTAAGAGACTATGGGTGCTGAGAGACTATGGACTCTGAGAAACAAACTGAGGGTTCTAGAGGGGAGGGGGGTGGGGGGATGGGTTAGCCTGGTGATGGGTATTAAAGAGGGCACGTATTGAATGGAGCACTGGGTGTTATATGCAAACAATGAATCATGGATCGCTACATCAAAAACTAATGATGTAATGTATGGTGATTAACATAATAAAATAAAATAAAAATAAAAAGAGACTATGGGTGCTATTGGGAGAGAAAAAACATTTTCTCTGCATGCTCCTACCCTAACCAGGCTGCTTTTTGGATATTAAGCGCAGATACTTCAGTTCATCTCTCAACTTACAGTCACTGACCATTCATGCATCTGGGAATGACTATGAAGTCTTGAGACTCGGGGATTCGGTACTTAGCTTTGGCGTGGCTGGGACATTTGAGGATATATGGGCTGTGCAAAATATGAGGTGTTTGACGTGGTGCTGGTGGGGCTGGTGCTGGAGCCACATTTGGTGGCAGAGATTGAACCCCAAAGCCAAGCACCAGGGACCAGAAAGCTCTCCTTTTATCCCATGTGATTTTCTATGACTTGCTTGTGACCCAGCAGACTGAAACCTAGGAGTGGAAAAGAGAGCTTCTCTCCTGGGAAGGTGATCCCAGGGTTATGGCTATCATCACATCATGTAATAAAACCTCTTTTCTTTGTTGTTCAGGTAATCTGACATTTTAAAGATTTTGCTCCCCTTGAAGAGGAAACATTTTAAAGGAGCACGGGATGTAGAAAAAGAAATCTTCACGGGCCTCTCCAAGGATGGCAGGCCGACCCATCCCTTGCTGAGATCATGATCTCTTCTAATCTCCTGGGTCTCTCCATGTTCTCCAGCGAGAATTCTTCCATTTCATTTTGTGCCATGGGAAAAACCTGAAGGACAGGCAGAATTGCTCCCACACATGTGGGCTTTTTTCCCCTAAGATTGCAGTAGCTCTTACAGAACATGACAGTTGGAGATCACTTCTTTTTGCTGTCTTTTGGAGTTGAACCAAAGAAGGCCCTTCCTCATTCTCCAGGGCTTTGGTGCCTGCTCATTTTTATATTCTATTTGTTTCCATTGCTTGTGCCTTAAAACCATCTTATCTAATCGAAAGACATCCTTAAATAAGTTTTTCCAGCACAACTTGCATGCATCCGGGCTCCTCAGGGCCTCGCCCATGGCTCTGTGGGCCAGCCGTCCAAGGGCATTACCATGAGGCACTGCATTAATTGCTGCATACAGTTGTTGCCCAACAACGAGCACAAACAGCAGGTTGGCTGCGGAGGAGGCCCCCTTCACGGTCACCCGGAGTGCCCTGCGTGCAAAGGAGAGAACAAAATTGTGCTCCGGGTGGACGGTAAACAGATGAACTTGCTTGCTGTTCTCGAGGTAAGGGCCGAGGGGAATGAGAGCTGGGGCAGGTTTCTGCGCTTCAAGAAGGGGAAGCGATGTAGCCTCGTGTTTGGATTGATGATCATGACCTTGGTGATGGCATCGTACATCCTTTCTGGGGCCCACCAAGAGCTTCTGATCTCCTCGCCTTTCCATTATGGAGCTTTCCCCAGCAATCCCAGCTTGATGGACGGAGAAAACCCTAGTGACATGAAAGAGCATCATCACCAACCCTCTGTAAATAATATTTCATACGTGAAAGACTACCCAAGCATTAAATTAATTATCAACAGCATCACAGCCAGGATAGAATTCACGACCAGGCAGCTCCCAGACATAGAAGATCTCAAGAAGCAGGAATTGCACGTGAGTAGCCTTGTGCTAATCTCAACTGACTGACAGATTGAATTTTAAAAATAGATGCTTCCTTTTCTGTCACCGTCTTTGGGAACACAGTAAAGAAAAATGACCAAAAAATGTCTCAGGTGTAACAAGGATAATTTGACAGACTCACAGGTCAGAAGGCCCTGGAAGAGGGCTGTCTGTTCACCATGTTTACACCAAGGAGGAAATTCGAGGTACTGAATGGCGAAGCTAGACATACCCAGGGACCACCCTTCTCATAATTCCATTGGAGGCCTTGAAATGCCGCCATGGTGGTTAAACTTGTTTTTGTAGATCACCATCATCCTGTTTCTATTGTGTCCTAATTAGTATTTTTGTCTCTAATGGTCATTTAAATACACAACTAGTAAAAAGATTCCAACTGTGAAATTTAATTAGATTGCTGTGTGCGCTGGCGTGTGCATGTAGGATGGATTTTGAGTAAGCTTTTATCTTCATTCTCTCCAAATTTTAGTTTTATTTTGGGCTAAGGAAAAACATGGTCTTGGCCATGTACCAAGTTTTGCTTTATTTTAGTGTTTAGCCATTGTCAAATAAAACTTCAAATGTGAGCACTCTAGCGAGGATCAGGGCATGACCGCATCATGGTTAGAACATGTTTTTGCTAATTTCCCCCCTCCGTGTGTCTCTCCCTCTCTTTCTCTTTCGTTGCAGATGTTTTCAGTAATCCCCAATAAATTTCTTCCAAATAGCAAGAGCCCCTGTTGGTACGAGGAGTTCACGGGCAGGAACACCACCGACCCGTACCTGACCAACTCCTACGTGCTCTACTCCAAGCGCTTCCGCTCCACCTTTGACGCCCTGCGCAAGGCCTTCTGGGGCCACCTGTCCCACGCCAGCGGGAAGCACTTCCGCCTCCGCTGCCTGCCGCGCTTCTACATCATCGGGCAGCCTAAGTGCGGCACCACCGACCTCTACGACCGCCTGCGGCTGCACCCGGAAATCAAGTTCTCCGCCATCAAGGAGCCCCACTGGTGGACACGGAAGCGCTTTGGTGAGCGCGAGGGGTCACCGCGAGGGGCGGGGCGTGCGTGCGCGCGCAGCGCCTCTTCCTGTCCCCGCCTCCTGCCCCAGTTCTTTAGTCCTTAAGCCCCGCTTGGCGCACCGCCGCACGTCTGGTGAGGCCAACGCCGGGCGCGGTGCTCAGGGCCTTCCCAGAGGCAGGGCAGAAGGTGAGGAAACACCCTGAGACACAGAAAGCAGGCAGTTCTTTACTGCGCCTCCCCCCCGCCCCCCGCACAAACATCCACGGGGCTGGACCCAGCTCCCAGCCACCCAGAGAGCATTTATTAAGTGCCAGCTGTATGCAGGGCAAGGGGAAGGGTGCAGAATGGCAGCCGTTCTTGTCCTGAAGAGCTCTGGTACACGGGCCGGCGGTGAGTGGTAAGTGCCAGGTGCCAGGTGGGCGTTTTCCTGGGGCTGCCCCCCCCCCAGCTCTGCACAGTGGCTTCCTGAGCATCCCCCTGCCCCAGGGGGACCCTGTAGGAAGAGAGGCTGCCACACGGGGTGAGGTTTGAGCTTCTGGCTGGCTCCTCCGAGGGCTGTGAACACATCTTCCAGCTGCTTTGGGCCTCATTTTTTTCTCTGACCTGCTTCGTCCCTCTGCCTCAAGCTCAGAAGGAAAATCACATGGACGTGATTCTGGGCGACCTTGCTCACAGCACCCCTTGCTCACAGGGGCGACTGTGGACATGGCCCCCACCCAGCCCGAGCCACCCCACAGCCCTCAGGTCACTGTTTCCTCCTCTTAACCTTTTGCCTTCTGCCAGGAGACGTTTGGTCACTTGGACAAATGCCAAAGCTGGGGCGGGACTCGAGGGCGTGTTTTCATGTAAAGGACCAGGTTGCTTGAAGGGCATCTTAAAAGTTTTCCTTCATAGAGCCTAAGTTTAGACCAAGTCCTGTTTGTTTCCTGACAAATTGACTTAATCCTTTTGATGTTCTTCCTGGAGTGAACGAACAGAAGTGTAAATGTGTCTTTTGTGGTTTGGCAGAGGCAGCTGTGGGAGCCATGGTTTAACGTGGGGTGCTCTCCCTGCACAGCTCACCATTTGCCCTAATGAGAACCAGCCTCCCGCTGGCGGGGACGAGGGAAGCTCGGGGGCGTGCTTCTGGGATCCGGTACTCAGAGTCTCTTCGAACCTCTTGCTCTTCTGCACGTGGACGTTTTCTCTCCACTTTCCATTAACCATGGTGGCTGTGGTTTGGGGTAGTGTGTTGTTAATAGAGTTGCATGCAAAATTGACCCATTTTTAAGGCAAGGGGCAAATTTCGGCTGCATTGGTCAAAGGCAGAATAACTAGTGAGTTCAACCGTTTGTCTCGGGATTCCGGGACAATTCCCCTTGTTTGGACAGACAAGCTGCTTGCTCAAACAGGCCAGAGATAGAAGCTCAGATAAAAACTCCCTTTTCTGGGGCACCTGGATGGTTCAGTTGGTTAAGCGTCTGCCTTTGGCTCAGGGTCCTGGGATTGAGCCCCATGTCGGGTTCCCCACTGAGCGGGGAGCCTTCTTCTCCCTCTGCCCCTCTCCTGCTCGGTCTCTCTCTCTCAAATAAATAAAATCTTAAAAAAAGAACCTCCCATTCCTGTTTGATACAGTGTGTGCATTCTGGATGCTGTTGCTGCTCAGCCACTTCAGGGCCCCACCTGGTGCACCTCTCAGCCAGCCCCAAAGTCTGGCCCTCCAAGCAGATGCGTTGATCGTTCTTGAACAGGTGTGCCATCCTGGAAGCCGCCATTTGCACCTGAATAGTGGTCTTCCACCCCTTGAAGTGAGCAGGTTAGCGAGGACAGCCAATTTGCAAACATTCTCTCTGCGAGCCCCTTCCGGCAGCTCACTTGGGTGGAGCCTCGGCTGCTGCATCTGGGCCCCTGGGCCTTTACATCCCTCTCAGTCACTCCCCAGGAGGCCACCCCCCCAGCAGTGGCTGCTTCGTCCTCAGTAACTCCTGCTTCTTGGTTCTTGTAGGGATTGTCCGCCTGAGAGATGGGCTTCGGGACCGCTACCCCGTGGAAGATTACCTGGACCTCTTTGACCTGGCCGCACACCAGATTCATCAAGGCCTGCAGGCTGGCTCTGCAAAGGAGCAGAGCAGGATGACTAGAATCATTATTGGTACGGCTTCTGTGTGATTCCCCATTGGGGCCGCTCCTGCCCTGGGCCCAGCCCCCACTCCCACGGGGACCCTTCTGCTCTGGGGCTGGCCCGGCTTTTGCTCTGGCCTGCGGAACATTTGCAGGATGCCTGCCACCTTCCCGACCTGGCCGTCGCTCTCACCCCTGTGTAAAGCGTTCACATCACTGACACAATTTCTGTAAAGCAGAAATGTTTAGCAGACTTTTTAGGTCTGTGGAGACTCCCATGTACCTGTAATGGTTTTTTTCTAAAAGTTGACATTTCTTTGTTTTTATTTAAATTAAGCACTCGTGCTTGGTTTCTTTTTATGACATACTGATCTAAGTTTGGATGGGGGATCATAAGCACAGGTAACCAATTAGTCATTGATTTAATACTGTGGCTTTTGGAATCCCTGGCCCCAGGGCCCTGTGAAGACAGAGGCAATTACTCCAGAAACAGATACAGCCCTAATGCATTGTTGGCGACTAATTGCTGTTGAAATAGCCTAGCCACTGTCAAGTTAATGCCTTTAGACATTCAAAATGAGGTGGCTTGATTAATAATCATTTTTTTTTAATTCATAAGAACATTTTTTATTAAAAAACCTAACTATTCACTCTTTGTATTGGATTCAGCTTAGGAGAAGACATTTGTCTACTTACACCTTCTGAAAGAGAGAAATCTGGCCACATAGTTTCCTTAAATTGGTTACCTGAGGCAGCAGTCTGTATTTTTATTTTCCTAAATCTATTATATTTTGATTCTCCAAATTCAATGACTCTGTTAGCAACTAAGAGGAATTGTAATCAAAGATGGCTCTTTGCTTTTGACTCTTCCTCTCCTAGGAGATAGGCTTACATGCCTAAACCCTGAGTTATTTATTGTTTTGTTTTTTAACTCAAATCAAGTTCTGAGAGCCAGATGAGATCAGACATCACCCCCACCCTGGTGTGAATTGGCTACTAGCTATTTTCTTGCAGCCTTGGGTCCACACACTTCAGATCACAAGTCTAATTAATATTTGACTGTGACTCCCACACCGTATGCTTCTGAGAGAATCTCATGTTCTTATGAAAGAGCTAAAAATATACATCCTCGGGCTAGGAAATAGAGCCTAAGATAATGAATGAAAAAGGAAAGCCTTAGTTTGGTTTTCTAATTTTACCTACTTCCAGATTTAAAAAGGAAAAAGAAAACATTCGCTGCTCTGATATTTACCTAAAGCAGAGTTTGGGGAGTTTTATGTAGTGGAGAGGCGTAGGGAAAGGCTGCAGCTAGCCCCGCCCATGCCACCAGCCAGCTCTGTGCCACGTGTCTCTCTTCCTGTTCCTGAACTCAGCCTGCACATCTGTACATTGGGCTTGTCGGACCAGCTCCATTCTTGCCCTGGAATGTGATTCAGCTCTGCTTCAGCTTCCTCTGGTTAGATCTTTGGTACAGCGTAAGGGTCGGTCTTCATCTCGGCCCAGGGGTCAGAGAGAGCCTTTCCTCAGTGGTGGGCTAATGACTGGAGTCCCGAAGGATTCGAGTGGCCAGGTTCTCAGAGGTGGGGCTCTAGACACACTGAAAGGCCCCTGCCTCTGCTTTCATGGCACCTTGCTCTGCCCTGTCTAAGTGCTCATCTGGGGAGCTGATTGTTTATGGAGTTATCAGCCTCCCCTAGATTGTGAGGTCGGAGAGGAGACGGGATAGTCTGTCTTATTTCCCTCCTCTATCCCTAATGCCAAGCACGGTGCCAGGCACCTAGTAGACACCAGATGAATGCTTTCTGGATGGATGGATATGAAATGAACAGAGGGTGAATGAATGGTTGGATGGATGGATGGATGGACAGACGGACAGATGGACTAGCAGATGGACAAATGTTTCTATGGTTGTAGAAGTACTTTGTTTATGAGATTTGACAGAATTGTGCCTTCATTTTAGATACTTCTCTTGTTCTAATATTCTTATATTCATTGTGAGTAGAATTTTCAAAGGACTTCTGATTGACTTGTCTTTCTTGTATCCTAAGGTATTATCTTTTAAAAAAAAAGAAAAAAGGAAAGACCAGAACAGAAATGCTCACCTGAATGTGATTGCACATCAACAGAATAGATAAGGCCCTGCCAACTCCCTGCATTATTGTGATGCACTCATCACTGATCAAAGACACTAGTCTTTTGGCTCAGATTTTCCCTGAATAAGTGGCTTTGAGATGTATCAAATACCCATGTAAAATGTTGGGAAATTGAATTTGTATGTAATTGATTGATTTGCCTTTCTTTCTAAATTTCTGAAGAGTCTTCTAAAAAAAATAGGGAATTGGTTCAAGTATCTGAGCAAGAGATGTTGAAATGTGTATATCTTGGCCTCATGGCTGTCCTAGAATGTGTATTTAACATTTCATCCTTCATTCATACAGACCATGATAAGAAAGGGCTGGACCCACTCCCTGTCCACCCAGGCAGCACAGAGTGAGTGCCAGCTGTGTACAGGGCCATGGGGTGGGCAGGCACGCAGGACACAGCACCCTCCAGACTGAGGTCCTGTGAACCCTCCCATAAACTCTTCCTCTCGTTTGGTCTCAGAGTGTGCCCGGGACCAGCCATGGGTTGTGATTTCATGGAAAATCTGATGCAGATTGCATCTAATTTCCTAAGGAGTGTCAGCTACCCCAAACTACTCCCTCATCCCTGGTGCTTTTTGAAGGGAACCATCTAGTACATTCTCAGTGGGCCTTTAAAATGCCACAGATCTGTGCACCATGAGCAATGTCAAATATCATGAAATTGGGAGGCCAGATGCTGGGAGAGCGTTGTTTTTTTTTTTGTTTTTTTTTTTTTAATACATCCTGGAGAGGAGCTGGGAGGAAGCAGATGCTCAGTGTTGCCTTGATCACTTTGATTTCCAGACAAAGACCTCTGGGTGGGAGCGGGGAAGGTCACTGTGGCAGAGGGGCCTTGTCAGCTTCCTCTTCCTGGAGTCCCGTGTGCCCCCGGTGGAGGCGGGTTTGGTCCCTAGCACAGGCTGCCCCGTGGGAGCGCGTAACTCAGCGCTGCTCATTTGCAGTGTTCTGTGTTTCTAGGGGAGGCCAGCGCCTCCACCATGTGGGACAATAATGCCTGGACCTTCTTCTATGACAACAGCACAGATGGAGAGCCGCCCTTTCTGACCCAGGACTTCATCCACGCCTTTCAGCCAGACGCAAAACTGATCGTCATGCTCAGGGACCCTGTGGAGAGGTGAGCACTTTGGATTTCTTGTATTTGGGGCGAAAAGGCAGTTTTGAAGAACAGCCTGCCTTCTCATCATGAACAAGATCTTCCCTCTTTTTTTTTAAATAAACAAGCTTAATTTGCAATGTTGCTGTTATTTCTTATGTAAATGTTATTGTTGGTGCAATCTTCACTGGGTCTAAACAAATTGTGGATTGTTTTCTTAGATCTTCTGACCGTGGCCTGTGGGCCTTCAGCCTCCGGCCTGTTTGACCTGGGGACCTCTTCGGGTACTGTGAGGGCGCACGAAACCCCCTTGGAATCGGGATGTCAGGGTTTGCCAAGGGGTTTGGCTCCCACGATTCCTTCTGTCCTGACCTGAGTGAGGCCTTTATCCCTGTCAGCTCTGAGAGTTCGGTCTCCTGCTTGAAAGACCAAAAGGAGGAGAGATGACGGGCAGGGCTGCTTTGTCGTAAAAAAGCAGGGGTCACCCACTGGGCTGAGGCACAGCTCACGTGAGACTGAGCATGGGGGTGGCCGGGCCAGCACTGGCGAGGCTTGAGTCATGATGAAGCCAGCGGGGATCGCAGAAGCTGGGGACTTCCGGGACCTGAAAATCACTTAGTGCAACAATCTGCGTGATACCATCCCATCAGAGAGAGGGGCCCTCAGCCTGCTCCAGGACCCTCGAGTGGGAGTCCCCCACCCAAGATGACCAGTCCAGCTCTGTGACAGTACTCTTCCTGTTTTGAAATCAAGTCTGTCTTTTGGGAGCATCCACCCTGGATCCGTTTTGTCCCTGTAGAGCCACATAGACCCAAGGGACACTCTCCGCATGCAGGAGAGGCTGCCCGATGTTGAAGCAGACCCAACCCTCTGTGTCTCCCTTTTCTGCCTGCCTCTTGTTACGGGTTGAATTAGGCCCTTCACAAGGATATGTTGGAAGTTCTAGCCCACCCCCCCATACATGTGAGTGTGATCTTATTTGAAAACAAGGGTCTATGCAGATGGACTCAAGTTAAGAAGAGGTCCTATTGGATTAGGGTGACCCCTGATCCGGTGGTTGGTGTCCTTGTGAGAAGAGGAAATTTGGACACAGGGAGAGCACCATGTGATGGTGGAGGCAGAGATTGGAGTGACGTGTCTGCAGGCCAAGGAATGCCTAGGGTTGTCAGCTAGCACTGGCAGTTGGAGACAAGCCTAGGATGGACCCTGCCTTGGAACCCCCAGTAGGAGCCCACCCTGCTGACACCAGGATTGCAGACTTGCATCTTTCAGAAGTGTCAGAGAATAAATTCCTGCAGTGACAAGCCATGAGATAGTGGTAGTTTGTTACAGCAGCCCTAGGAATCTAATAGACTCTGTGAGTACCTTCCTTGGATGGGCATGCATTCCTGGCCTCACATCCTTGCCAATGATGATAATAAGACATGTTTGTTGTGGAAATTTTAGGAAGTACACTGGAAAGCTATAAATGAAAACTATTATAAAAAGCACCTACAATCTCCCACCAGATAGCTGTTATTTATATTGGATGTATTTTCTTCCAGACTGCTTACCTATGCAGCTAAATGGTGTGTTTGTGTGTGTGCGTGTCTTACATCTTGCTTCGTTTGTTTCACATTGTTGTCCCCGGAAGGACATGCCTCAAAGTCCTGCCCTGCTCGCTCCTCCCTGAATTTATCTCTGTGCCCCTTCCGTGGAGTTCTCAAAGTGGCCCCTGCGGCCCTCAGTGTGACCTGGTCAGAGGGGAGCTGGATTATCCCCCTCCGTCTCCATCCCAGCAGCCCTCTTGGTGCTACACCATAAGGCACATCTATATGCCCCAGATGGTTCCACTCTGGTTCTGTTCTCCTCTCAGCCTCCGGAATCCATCTGGTCCAGTTCTGAGGCAGACACTGACCTTGGAGCAGCTCGCCTCATCCTACCTGCTAGTTCCCATGCTTTGGAGGCAGGAGTTTGGCCCTTCTGCTCACGGAGTGGGCGGGTCCCCCTCAGTCTGAGAACAGTTGACACAAACCAGTGGTGCTCTTGTGTAGACACGATTATGTAACTGTCAGCCTTGAAAGGAAAGGCTCAGTGACTAAGTGACCCCTCGCCGCCCACTGAGGTGTTTTCACAGCTGCTCTGCCTCCCTCCCCCAGAGAGCCCCCAGCTGCAGTTCACAAGGTTGGAACATTCTCTCATGAGTGCACTTTCTGCTCACCGAATGTCTTCCTGTCACATCTCCCTAGTTCCTCATTCTGAAGAAGGTCACACTGCGCCTCAACCTCAGGGGGCCAAGAGAGCGAAAACTGCGACATTTTGTCACTCCCTGGGTATAGAGCAGTGGGAACCGGTCTGTGTCTGGGCTTGTTTGGTGTGTGTCAGCCGTGTTCTAGGCCCCGGGCATGGGGAACTCACGGCTGGTTGCAAGACAGGAATTGCTGTGGTTGTTACGGTCTGTGGATTCAGCTGGAACAAGAGGGAAGATGAGAAGTGGCTCAGAAGAGGGAATGAGCTTCAGGTGGGGAAAAGCTATGGTGGAGGAGCTGAAGCCAGGCTGGGTTTTGAAGGACAAGTAAGAGTTTGCCAAGTCAACAAAGAAGGAACGTGGTTGAAAGGAAGAAGCATTCTGGACAGGGAGATCAGTGAAGACAAAGGTAAAGACCATGGGTTCTCTTGTTGGAGAGTGGAGTCAACTTCCCTACATGTGTCCCTCTCTTCCTGCAGTCCTGATTCTACCTCTGAGGACATAAGCGCCATCAGGCAAGCCTTTGAATGGGGAGGGTCATGGTGCCGCCCAGGTTCAGACAGCGAGCCAGGAGCTGGACCTGTCAAAGTCTGCCTTCCTTTAGGAGGATCAAGGGCCACAAGATAGCACTTCCAAGTAGTCACCATGTTTTGTTTTGTTTGCTTGCTTTTTGGAACAAATACTTTGTCTTATAGGAACTGAAAGTGAAGATTTCTTACCTTTCTGGTCCTCAACAGAGCTAGTTCATCAATTCAGATACTGAGTCCTGACCACATGTTGGGCACTGTGCTGGGTGCTGAGCATATACATATCCCTGAAGGATGAAGGCCCACCCAGTGCCTACCCTCTGGGAGCTGGCACTTTTACCTAGAAGTGAGGCCCTTACTCTCTAATGGTGGATGTCGTGGTGCCGAGGAGGGTATGGCAGGATGCCATGGTGACAGCCTGCATCAGGAGGCTAATCCAGTTGTTGGGTTGCCTGCTATGTTAGTCATCTACTGCTGCGTAACAAATCACCCCAAAATTCAGCGGCTTAAAACACCACACATCTAGTATTGCACAGTTTCTGTGGGTCAGAATCTGGCACAGTTTACTGCATCTTCTCCTTCAGGATCTCTCCCAGGGCTGTAGTCAAGGCTTCACCACAGTGGGGTCTCATCCAAAGGCTTGACTGGGGAAGGCTCTGCTTCCACACTCACATGCTTTTAAGCTCATTGGCAAAATTCAGTTCCTCAGTGGCTGTTGGAAGGAGGGTGTCCATTCTTTGTTGGCTAGAGGCTACCCTCAATGCCTTGCTTCTGGGTCTTGCCAACATGGCTGCTTGCTTCATCAGAGCCGCCAGGGAGAGAATCAGCGGGCAGGTCAGAAGGTACGATCTTTTGTAATCTGATCACTGGAGTGTCAGCCCATCACCTTGACCACATTCCGTTGGTTAGAAGCAAGTTACGAGGGCCAGGCCACACTCAAGGGGAGGAGGTGGCAGGGTGTGCATGCCAGGGAACAGGGATGATTGCCTACCACACCTGCTCCCCATTTCCCTGTCTGATCGTCCAGGAACCTGGGCCCCAGCGGTGTGACCAGGAGCAGAGAAGCTGCCGGCGCATCACCGTGTCCAGACAGCGCCTGCGCATGTGCAGCGGAGGGTGTGTGTTCATGTGCACATTTTCTGTGTGGGTTACTGACAGCAACAGCTGTTCCATTGCTTTTTAAACGTTGATAAAAAGTATGCAACAATAGGAATTTCTTTTTTGAAACCCGTGACTCATGGCCTGTCTTAAATGTCTGGCTTATTCGCCATTCCAGCCGGAAAGGATGATAGATATCAATGTTTAGATTTTTTTGAAGAAACAAACACTTGGAACCCCTGTTTCCATTAGTCTAACTGGGTCCCAGGCCATCAGCCCGCTTGGTTCATTCCGTGACCTTGCTTTTCTGCAGGGGAAGGATCTAGGGGTTGCTTGCTGCCAATGGGATTAGGCTAAACTGTTCTTTCCATCTACAAATTGGTGAGGGCAGGGGTGGAGTTTATCTTTAGTTTCAGATTCACATTTAGCCTTTATTTCTAGAATTGATCCGAGGTAGAGGGTTTTTAAAACGTTGGGATTGCACACAGAATCAAATCAATCACTTTTACATTTCAGAGAAAGGTGCAAATGGTACGTTCGTTGTTCCCTGCTCTGGAGGAGAACAGAGGAATAGTGGAAGGCGGGTAGGCTGGTTCTTGTGGCCAGAAGGGCCAGCCAAGTTTCGTGCTGCAAGTTTTTCTACGTAAGAGATAATGACAGTTTAAAAAAGTGAAGCATTTCTAGGCCAAATTGGCGTAATTAAAAAGCAGAATTTTTCTTCCTTTAATTTGATTCTAAAGTGGGAAAGACTGTTCTTTTCAGCACATCTCCCGTTAGCTTCCCACCTCTTCATTTGTGAGTGGTTGACAGAGTTCGCCTCGTAATTCAGAGGCCGCCTTCATTAACTGGGACAAATGGCTGGAAGGTGCTGAGCCCTCTTACGTAGTTTGTTCAGGGGACCCTTGGAGTGGGGTCACATGCCATCTGTTAAGGATTTTACCGTGTCTGTGTTTTGGGTTTAGTTCTGTGCGTAATATTAATGCCAGGCATGGCGGTGACCAGCACAGGATGCTTGGTGCTCACGTTTTATGACGGGTGGGTCAGATGGGAAGGAGAAGTGAGCTCAGTTAAGAGTGAGAAGTTGATTTTGATCCGGGCACCTTGAGCCTTGACTCTTGGGGCTTTGTTTTCTTTATCTGCTTGTAGAAACTGACTTTTTAACAATCCACTAGACTGGGTCAATAATTAATCTATGTATGACGATGCACTAGGAAGGGAGGGGATGAAGCATTTAATGAAATGCATCCATTTAAATGCATTTGGTCATTTGGACAGAGTAATGAGCGAAGCTAAGCCTTTGGACAGGAGTCCTGGTTTCATGGATTTTACTCCATTTGCAAAGGGGAAGGTAGGGCATGTGGGTAGTAAGTGGCAAACCAGGGTCACCTTGATAGAGTCATAGCCTTGGGGGACCAGCCTTTGGCAAGCTGCTTGACCTCTCTGTGTCTCATTCCTTATTGGTGAGATGGAAGGAAAATAGTCCTGCTTTTAGGGTTGGGAGAATAACTTAATATATGTAATGTATTTAAATAGTGCTGGACAAACACAAAATATTAGGTAATCATTAGCTATTATTATTAGGTCACAGTAGTAGTAAATAATAATAGTAACCAGGGTGAGCACTCCTTTACTCACTGAACAATTATTGGACACCTTTGAAGTGATAGATGTGGGACATACATTGGAGGGCAAAATCCTTGTCTGCCCTCCTGGAGCCTATGTCCAGTGGAAGTGGGGACAGCCCTCAATTAAGTGACCTCAGGGTTAACTCCAGGCTGCCTCTGTGCTAAGCCCTGTTCAGGCATTGCCTCACTTACACTTGGCAAGTAGGTGTGTGGGCTCAGTGGGGCTAAGTCACCTACTTGCCGTCACCTGGTTAGTAGTGGCCAGGCTGGATTTGAGCCCGTGTTGGTTTGACTGAGGAGTCGAGCTGTCCTCCTTCTCAGAGGCTGGTCCTTGGATGCAGACGTGGAGACAGCAGTGTGTGTGCAGGAGGTTTATGGGGCCCATCGTGGGACAAGCCAGGCAGTGCAAAGGGTCAGGCCGTGACGCAGTCACCCAGAGGTCTCCCTCACACCATCAGGAGCCGTGTGGCTGGGATGGCTCTTCCAAGCTGTCGCCAGTGAGGCCTCTCCCATCCAGCAGCCACTGTGCGCAGTCTGCCCTGGGGAGGCTTCACCGTGGGTGGAGCAGGTCTTTCCAGCTGAGGGCAGATGCTGGGCGGGACGGGACAGTGAGCCATCAGCAGGATGACTCCCCACTTTTGCAAAGCTCTGTGAGCGGTAAGGACCCCTGTCTTCCTGGGTGGCTAAATGTGGACTCCGCATCAGCAAGAGCCAGATGCCGATCCCAGGGCGACATGGCGCTCAGATGGCAGGAAGCCGTGCTGACCGAAGCTTCTGAATCGCCGTAGACCTCTGACCTGCGGCAGGAATTTCTCTCGTCGCTCAGCCTGTGCTGAGGATCTTCTCCAAACAGCTCAACTTCTCTAGGTCCCTGGAAGCACTGACGTCGCACCACAGACATGTTCTGCGGCAGGAGAGGGGTGCTGGTACGCCAGCGTCCTGTGCCATATTCTCTTCCACACGTTTGCACGAGGATTGGAGGGCAGGCTGTTCCTCAGCGCTGATGGATCGGTCATTAACGTCCGTGATCTTCAAGGGAAATTCGGAGAACTCTGTGGGCAGGAGCTGGAGTAGGGGGAGAGGCCGTGGAGCGTAGAGGTCGTGACGGCCATGGATCGAGTCCATGCCCTGCCTCCCTCCCTCTGGCTCCTACTCTCGCCTTTGTGTTTACGACCCTGGAGGATGAAGGATCAGCGGCAGCCTGCAGGAGACTATAGTCGAGTGTCTCTCAGCAGCCTGTTTCCTGGCAAACTGAGGCATTTCGCGTCTCAGAAGCAGTCTGTCTGGGTGTCACTGGCATGCCTGTAATGAGCCCTAAAAGTGGCATGAGGGCACGTTCATAGGGCTGAACTGGGAGCCACCCTAGGGCCAGGGGGTTGGCCTGAGACATCAGAGAGGGGAGGGTGAGCCGGCCAGGCCCCGGCCAGGACAGCGCGGGCCCTCGTGAAGGTGCTCCGGTGGTCATTCGGGAGTAACGCCTGGTGAGGGGCCAGGTCTTGTTACTGGGGAGAGAAAAATAGTCATGCTGAAGATTCCCGTGTGTCTGACACGGTTTATTTTTTTGGGAAATGCTTACAAAGTCATCGGCAGTCCTGAGTATTCCCAAACAGATTGTTTGCGGAGGGCGAGGCACACCGGGGAGAGGGCCGCCTCGTTGCTCCGTCTGCAGAGGCTGTGAGCTGTGGGTCCACCAGGCCAGCATGGGGGAGGGCGCTCAGTCCACTCTGGACCACCAGGTCACTTCAGGGACCTCGATTAGTGAGGTTGGCGAGTTAAAGCTGTTCAAGGGAGGGGGTGGGACAGTGGCCACACTCTGTGGTGGGGTCCCACAGCCTGGGATCCAGACCTGGCTTTGCTGCTGCTTTACCCAGGGGTAGCCTAGTGATCCTGTGCACTTCCTTTTCTTCTCTACCAGAAGACACCTGCTATCAGGATCACCAGGAAACTGTGTGAAGGTGCTTTGTAAACGATGCCAGGTTTGTAGAGCAAAGGGATGTTTGGTATCGTCTCTGAGAGGTTCTACCCTTTGTTCCATGAACGTTGACCAAGGACCCATGATTGGATGCTCTGGAAGAAACAAAGGTGAACCCAGAACCCTACTCCTGCTCAGGGGGAAGAGACGACCCAGCCCAAATGAGCTCAGTGAGCTGGAGATGTTGCATCCTTGTGGACATGTTTAGGTCCAAACCTGGATGTTCTTCTCTGGCAGAAAATGAGCCTCATCAGTGTTACCCATGTGTAGGGCTTGGGTGGCTCTCGACTTTGCCTCCAAGTGAGCTAGCCCGGCCAGTCCTGCTTCATTGTTCCTCATGATGAGATATTCACAGCTTATGATTCAGTGAGACAGAAGGGCCTCCTTCCCGGCCACGTTAAATGGCCTTATTTCCTTGTAGGGAAAAATATACATAATCATTATTGATGGCACCATATCAGAGGTCAGGGAGTTATTGATCAGTGATTTGAATGTGGATGCCAGCAAATGGAGAATGATGCGGGGGCTCTCTGGGTTTCATTTTTGTAATCACCCTTCAGGTGGCTGCAGGACAGTGGAGATGTCATGGAGTGGGGGGCTGAAGCGGAAGACAAGAGCGTGCCCACCTCTTGGGGGCTCCTGGTGGAGGAAATAGGCCGTTCACATGCGTGTCATTGAGAAGCTGGCTGGCGGGGGCTCTGGGCGCTCAGCGAAGTCGGGGCCAGCACAGCCTGCGGTGAGCCCCTCCAGGAGCTGTCAGCTGCTCCCCGCCGCCCACCACCTCAGCGTCCGCCCCCGATCTTTTCTCAGAGCCCGGCTCTCCGAGACGTCTGATGCACGGAGCAGTAGCTGGAGAGAAGGCATTGCTCACGCCCTCTGGACAGAGCTGATGCAGTCGAACCGTCCGTGTGCCCTGTGGGCGTGGGATCTCCGTGACTTCTCCCGTGAGCCTCCCTGCGAACTGACAGGTTAAAACGGACAGCGACTTTCTGGGGTGATGAAAATCTTCTGGAATTGGCTGGTCCACTGAATTTGTGCGTCTGCTAAAAACTACTGAATTGTTGGTATGTGGATTACATCCCAATTTTAAAATGGTATGAACACAACCATGACAAAAGGAGGAGAAACCAGCTTCCCTAACTAGTGACGTTTGAGCTAGAACCTGCCTGGGTCTCCTCATTGCGGGAAGGCCGACCGACAAGCACATCATCATTTAAGTGCTAAAATCGTTGAAACAGCCAGTGACTATCAGCTTATGCAGGTGCCCAAAGGTCACTCTGGGAGCTCTGAAATTCTAATAAGTACCTGAATCCTGTTTGTTGTTGCTATCATTTTCTGGATGCCCAATGCGGTGCTCTGTAACCACATCGGCTTTTCCTGATCGTGGCAGTGAGGCCCGTCATGTTTATCCTGAGCGTTTGTTTGCTGTTCTGTTACGCGTCGTGATTGCTTTCTGTCTCCTGTAACTTATTAACTAGTTTTCTAACAGCCTTCCAAATCACCGTGCACCTCAAACAATCAGAACATCAAAACAAAACCCCAAACCCATCGGCTCAGATGGCTAACACCCTGCTCTCGTCAGCTGTTGATTTGGCTCAGTCCCTAAACTCGGAGGCCAGGGGCCGAGGCCTGTTGGGTCACAGGGCTTTGGGCTCAGGCAGACCTGGGTTGGTTTGGGCCCCAGCCGCAAAGTCTCCCGGGCTGTATAACCTTGGGAAGCTCCCTAATCTCTCCAGAAGCCAGTCTTCTCCTCTTAAGACAGGGCGACGACACTCAGCCTGTGTCTCGGGTTGCGGGGCAGGTTGTGAACACAGAACGAGGACATGCGTGCAGTACCCAGCACAGGGCCTGGTGAGGGGCAGCCCATCAGGGATGGAAGCCGTGAGGACCGAGGCAGCTGAAGCCCACAGCACTTGCACGAGCCTGGCCTGCAGGGGCAGACCACGGAGTCATGGCTGCCTCCGTTGTTGTGGCGATTGGTACCCCCCCCCCCCCCCCGCTCACGGAGGTTCAGTGTCGTTGAAGAGATTCACTATTGGCCTTGGTATAACTCTCTCGATTTTACATGGTGGGGCCTACAGTGATGGCCCTGATGGCCACTCCTCTGTCCCCATGGGAGAGACGTGGTCCCTTCTAGAGGCACCAGGTTGAGGGAGCCACCCCTTGCACACACATTCTCTCCCGCTCCCCTTTGCAGCAGTGCTGGGTCCCAGGATCCCCGCACTGTCCAGGCAGGAGCTGAGCCGCACCTCCACAAGGGCCGACCCCCCGTCACGGGGCTGCCCAGGAGCCTTCTAAAATAGCCATAGCACAGAAGGCCCGGAATGTATTTGGACTTATATTTGGAATTGCTCTTGGAAACAGTCCTGGCCAAATGTAACACCCATCTGGGATGGTTGAAGAGGAAGAAAATTAGGTGGTTCAGCAGAAGGGGGCTTGGCAGCCCCTAAGCTGCCAGGGGGCTGGCTGGGTTTCAGGGTCAGCTGGCTCTCACTCAGCCCCGCCAGCCATGATTGCTCCTGCTGCCGGGGCCGCTCGCTTCATGCTGGACTGTCCCAGCTGGAGACTTTTTCCCTTCAAACTAGTTCCTGAACCTTCTACCCATCGGTCAGTCCTTCAGGAGCATGGTTCAGGTCTCCTTCCAGCCCAGGACAGCCGTATAGCCATTGAAACTTATTCTTCCTTCTAAGTCTTGCTTCTTCAGATGGAACAGCTCCTTCCCCCCAACATTCGGTACCCAGCACTGAAGCAAGCAAGCATCTTTTGGGGTCCCAATGTGCCAGGGTGGAGCAGAGCGACACCCTTCCTCATTCCCAGTGCCCTACCTTTGTTAATGCATCCCGAGATTTGCATAAGTGTCCAGGCAGTTCTGTGGTGATTCGTTATGAGCTTATGTCAGCTTAAACCTGTTGTGTATTATCCCTGCTGGCTTCTCTCCCCTACTTCATCTTCTACAGTTGATTTTAAAAACAAAAACGTGGATGTTTAGATTTATCTCTTGTTACATGGGTGTGCCTACTCCAGCTTTTGGATCCTTACTCTTGATACATTTCCTGCTCTTCTCAACATTTTCTGAATGACTTTAAACTATCCAAGTGGCTTTCAGTCATCCTTGGTCACTACCTGGTCCTTTCCCCCCAAGAGAGTAGCTGCGGGGAAATCATAGCAGTGAATATTGCTGACGTTCTTATGAAGCATGAGCCTCATTCTTCAGGGGACCCAAATAGCACTCCCCCAAAAGCGAGAGCTCATGCTTCTCCTTTGCCTTCCTTCTTGTATCTCTGTGGGAAAGCGACCCTGTGCCCCCCATCCAGCTGCGCACTCAGGACTCCGCCAGGGTCGCAGGGTAGGAGAGAGGTGCTGGCAGAAATGACTCCTCAGCCTTCCTGGCAACGGGAGGTTAAAACCCACACACATTGCCTGGGGCTGTTGCAACAAATTTCCATAAACCTGGTGGCTTAAAGCAACAGAAATCTATTCTCTGGCAGTTCTGAAGACTAGATATCTAAAGGCCAGGTGTCAGCAGGGTAGGTTCCTTCTGGGACTTCTGAGGAAGGGACTGTCCCAGGCCTGTGTCCAGCTGCTGCTGGTGGCTGACAGCCCGGGGTGGTCCCCGGCTTGTGGCGGTGTCACCCCTTCTTCTCCCTCCGCCTTCGTGTGGCCTTCTCCCGTGTCTCTGTCTCCTTTGTAAGGACACCAGTCATCGGATTTACAACCCACCCTATATCCACGATGATCTCATCTCAGGATCTTCAACATAATTTCGTCTGCAAAGACCCTGCTTCCAAATAAGATCCTATTCACAGTTACTCGGGACATATTTTGGGGGGATTTACAGAATCCACACAGAAGGGATGGCCGTTCGTTGTGATGAATAAAGTCTCTGCTCAGATGTTTTTGACAAAGAGGAGCGTGAAGGACGTATAGTTAAAGATCTACATCCTGACATGCACGTGGGCTCAAGGGAGTCCCGAGGCCCACCGCACATTCTGTGGGCAGATCTAGGGTTCCTGGAGGGTCTGAGAGGCCAGGGACACCCCCTCCGCTCTACTGGTGAAGTGAGCCTGGCCTGTTTGTAAAAGGCCTTGAACCTGCCTCATAGAAGGTGGGATCCTGAGTTCATTTCACCTCACCTCAAACAGATGAAAATCCGTAGTCCTCCTGCCCCCTATCAGGGCTGGCCTGGCCTGGCCTGGTTGGAACATCAGCCGTGTTCCAGTTTATGCTCTGTGATTACTTCCTGATCTCTAAAGAATTGTATGGAATCAGCATGAAGTTACTTGGTGTTTAAAATTGAGGCAGGTTTCGGGGCTCTTGTTTTATTTATGAGCCAGACATCCACAGGAAATGTTCTTACTACAAAATCAACTCTCAGTATGGAAAGCTTGGCCCAGTGGTTGGGTTTTTAGATAGTAATCTATGTGATAGAATTCCAGTTCGACCAGAGAATGTGGATAGTCCTGTAGGAGTCCTTGGTAAGAACTTTGGTCTTGGATTTACTATTAAACAACAGATTTTGATGACAGTTTCAAAGGTGTCACTTTTCATGGATATAGTTTCATGGCCTGGGCCATAGTATCAGTGGGACTGATAAGAAATGTGTGAGCTGGGAAAGGCACCCCATCAGACTCATGGCCACATGGTATGTGTGGCACATAAACTGAATTGTTTTTTGAGGCCCATGCAAATCTGATTTTGGCCTTTACCCATCAGCCTCTAGCTTATACTACGACCAGCCTGCAGTGATGGGTGCTGCGATGGACAGGTGATGTTGGGGGACACTGTAACAGGTGGATGTAGTGTTATCCTGGGTAATGTGCCCGGGTGGGCACAGATCTGGGGGGCATGGACTCACCAGTCACTGAGCATCACTAATGACGGGTCTGGAAACAGGGTCTTTTGAAGAGTTAACCGAACAGGCTGAGGTCTACAAAACTCTCCCATTCCCGGGTGTGTGTAGACTCTAGGCCATCTGTGGGCAGATCCCAGGCATCTCCAGACTTCTCACAGGTGTCCTCTGTAGACACTGGCTGTAGATGGATTCTGAAGGGGTCAAAGGCCCTGTGCCAAATGTCTGAGGTGAAGCAGCTCTGGTCCCTGAGAAGCCATGCTCGTGTTATCCATATATCTGCATACCCTCCCGTTAGAGGGAGGGGCGTGGGAGGAACATTTGCAGTGGGCCTGGGCCATGGGGGCCCTGTGGTTTCCGCCCCAGTGGGTGTGCTGAGCGCTCGGGTCGGCCGGAGTGCAGAGAGTAGCTGGCAGGACAGATGTGTACTCCTCAGACATTTGGTACGGAGTAAAGATTTACTGACTTGCCTTCACTGGAATAAGTGAAGCCACGTTGGAGAAGTTGGGGTGGGGGGGAAGAAAGTATGGTGTTAGCAGGTGAGAGAACGTGAGTCCTTGGAGCCAGGGGGCCGCCCCGCGTCAGCCCCATGTTCCCACAGGCAGGCAGAGGATGGTGTATGAGGGAAAGGTGCAGCAGGGAGGTCATGTCGGAGTGGGCATTGGAAACGCACCAGGCAGAAATGAAGAAGGGATTTTTGAAAAACAAAAGATGAAGACTCACCCTCTCTGCAAGCAGAAAGCAGGAAGATTCAGTGTGGGAATTCACAACTCAGTTGTGTTAAAGAAAGAAGTTATGGGGTGACAGTGGAATCACGGGCCTGTCAAGCTGCAGTGTACCATCTCACCTGCTTTTATGGGTGCTCCGAATCCTCCAAATGAGGTGATTGGAAAAGTGCCACTGTGGTAGGTCTGTGACCTGACTCCATCCGATACAACTTGATGCCATCTTTGTTTTCGAAAATATAAAATATGCAGATATGTGCTTGAGTAGGCACAGAAAATTCCTGGAAGGCTATTTCAGCAACTGATAACGAAGGTCACCTTTGGGGAGCAGGACTTCCAGTGAGGACCACCAGAGAAACTGGGCAGGAAGACTCTCCATGCTGCATTTATTGTGGTGTTACGATTCATCTTGTCTTATTGGTTGTTTATGTGATATAAGAAAAGAAATATTCCATGCTTTAGAAAATCTATCTGTAATGCAAAGAGTCCAGTAAAATATATTTGCAGAGGATTTATTGAAGGGAGGAAGGTTAGAAAGAAAGAGAAAGCAAGCAAGCAAGCAGACCTTTATCCTGATGCTTGTTCAAGGCTGGAAGGCAGGCATCATTCAGGACCATTGGAGGGGGGTCAGGACATGGCGTGGGGACAAAGACTGGCCTCAACTCCGGGTACAGTGGGGAAAAGTGGGGACTTATAGCCAAGGAGGAGTGGGGGTCAGGGGGTTGGAAATTACTGAGAAGACACATCGGGGTAAGTAGGTCGGGGTTTTGACCAACCGGACCTAGCAGGATTCTGGCTGAAGACAGGCTGGGGGGATTAGACATCTCCTGGGGGGCGGTGGGGGACCAGGAACCCACCACATATTGAGGGTGATCAGATAACAGAGGGTGGGGGATTCTGGCTAAACTGACCTAGCAGGATTCTTGCTGAAATTGGGCAATTCGGGGATGGATGTGGTCATCTACAAGGTGAGGCCTACTTGGGAAGAAGATTTAGAGGAGCCCCAGTAAAGTTTGGTCAAGGAGTGGCACCGCAGGAAGACATGGCACATCCATGTGGTGGGATCTGTGTGAACAGACCTATGGACAAACAAACAGGGTTACAGGTGACTGCATGCATATGTGGGGGTGTTTTTATATTGTGTTAAAAAATAAGTCCCTACTAATCTAGAAAGATACATCTTATAATTTTTTTTTTTTTAATGTTTGGAACGTCTGTGGAATGGGCAGGAATTTTTATGAGGAACTGTAATGTTGTAAGAGCAACAGATGTTCTTGTTGCCTCGGATGGGAGGGAGAGAGATATGAAGGAGCATAGCGTTTTCATGGCCTGTCTTCGCTCTTATACAGTTTCTGAGC